TTTCTAAAAATAGATTCTATGACTCTATTTTTAGAAACGTGTCGTCTCAGAATGCAAACGAGAAGAGTTAATTTTAATGATATCGGAAGAAATCATTAAAATTAACAAAAAGAATTTTTTTTTTTTTTTTTTTTTTTAAATTCCGATTCGGATATTTTGTTTCAGCGCTGAGAAAAATTTTTCCAGCCAAATCCAAAATGACCCTCCTTATTAACTTTCTGAGAGAAGACACGTTTGTGTCTTACCAATACATATTTTTTCAAATTCCTAAAAAATATTTTCCAGCGAAATACAAAATTACCCTCCTTAAAACCTTTTTAAGATGACACGCTTGTGTCTTAAACATATAGTTTGTTTCAAATTTCTAAGATAAATATTTTCCAGCTAAATCTGAACTAACCCTCCTTCACATCTTTCTGAAAGACACGTTTGTGTCTTCCCATTGAACTATGTTCATATTTAGTTTTTATGATTTGAGAACAAGTTGAAACAATTTCCCTTTCATGGAAATTTTATATACATTTTTCAATTGCTTTTCTTTCCCGTTTCACTTTAAAGAAATACTTTTCGATACCGTTGATGTTTTAACTTTCAATTCTAACACCAAAACCAATAAATAAATAAAGTAATAGCAACCAATCAAAAGAACTTTCAGTACCAGAAGTGACGATTGCGTTACGTGGTCAAACTTTTGAGAGTCATTCCAGCAATTGGTCATACCTTTGGATATTCATGGCTATGTAAAAAAGAATTTACCGTGGATCCAAGTGCTACTTCAATACTCAAAGTATTCAACTACCTATTTTCTGTATGGAGTTCTTAAGTCATTTGTTAGGATTAAATAGATTCAGCGAGTTTTTTGATCAAATGAGCTCTCAAATCATTCCCATACCGTGTTATGACTTACTTTTCAATTATTTTCCTTTTCACTTCAAAACAAATTCTTTTTCAACACCGTTGATGTTTCAGATAATTCAATGATAATGTGTTAGTAGGTTTAATTATAACGTATCAGTAGCAAATCTCATTTTAATGCTTTGCTTCAACAAAAAGTTCATGTTCGACACCGTTGACTGTAATAATATTTTTAGTCCAATTCCAGAAAATAGGTTGAAGGCTATAATGTATCGGTCATCTTTAACATTTCAATTCTTTTCCTTTTCACTTCAAAGTATTCTCTTAAACACCGTTCATGATCCAACTCCATAAAAATTGTTAATATGTTGAAGTACATAATATATCAGTCATCATTCCATTTCATTCATTTTCACTTCAAATTATTCTCTTCAACACCGTTCATGAAGAAAGGGAGAATTCTCCAATTCTCTTACTACTGCACGCAATGATTTAAAGCGAAACTGGGAATGCTTTTATAGATAACGATGTCTTTATTCTTTAAGAAATGGTCGTATCGGCTGGAGGAAAAATTTCTCAGAGAATATCTAAATCAGATTTAAAAAATATATATTTGATAATTTTAATAATGTCCTCTAAGGACATTATTAAAATTAATTCTTCCCCTTACCCTGTTGTAGATTTTAAAAGTACATTTCCAAGATTGCATGACTCATATTCTATTTTTAGAAGCATTTAGTCTCAACAGGAAAAAAGAAGTTATTTTAATTATGTCTTTAGAGGACATCATTAAAATTAACATAAAGTTTATTTTATTTTATTTTATTTATTTATTTTTTAAATTCTGATTCAGATATTCTTTGAGAGTTCCCCCCAGCCGATAAGACTCGACCATTTCTTAAAAAAAGAAGTCATGGTTATCTACAAAAGCATTCCGAGGTTCGCTTCATATCACACTGTACTGTTGAAGAATATGGATTCACTACAACACGGTCCTCCGACCTGGATTCTACATAATCAAAAAGCGTTGAGTGTTCCTGATTTTTTATTAATGCTGTTAAGAGAGAATTTTTTTGAAATGAAAAGGAAATAATTGAAAGTGGAATGAGGATAGATTACATTGTTACTGATGTCTGTCTAGTCAAACGTATGAACCATTTTCTGGTATTGGAATCCTAATGAGAATTTTGTAGCTCAGTGAAATATATTACAATCAATGTTAACGGTGTTGACATAGAATTCTCTGAAGTGAAATAAAAAAGATTAAGTTGAGACATTATAATAAATCATACGAAACGATTTTGTAGTTTTGGGTATCCTAATGAGAGTTTAGCCAAAAATATGACAATCAACATCTATGGTGTTGACATAGAATTGTTTGAAATGAAATAATATAAAAAAATGATTGAAATATGAAAAGACGAGACTACTACCGATAAATTTATGGTGTTATTCTATTAAAAATATTCGGGTATTGGAAATTTTCTTAGGTGCATGGCATTTTCTCAACTTCAGCGCTATTGTTTGAAATGAAATGTGAAACGATTACACTATTATTGATACATTTATAGTTAAATGTGTTAGCAATCTTCGGGTATTGGAATTTTGTAGGTCTATTACAAATTCCCAACATCAACGGCATTCTCTAAAATGAAAACGAAAATGATTACACTATTACTGAAACATTACGAGTTTCACTTTAGATCACTGCAGGTTGTTGTTGAAGATTCAATGCAACATGGTCATCCAAGCTGAATAAAAGCTTCCTCCATGATGGAAGCGTAATAATGTCCTCTCCATAGTGGATTTTATTTTACTCTAAACTCTGAAAATATTCTTTTCCCAACCAGCTCTAAAAAAGTACTTTTCCTTTACAAGTTTGTGTTTTACTCAATGTTATGATGATACACAGTTTGTTCGTGAAACGTTTGAAGAGTTTATCGAAAAAGTTGAACATTGCTGAATTCCACTTTTCTAAATGTTTTGAAATAATGAGGAAGATAAATACGCAAAGCATCTTATTGGAATTTGTGATGATAATTAATAATAGCCAAAGCTATTTAAACATTTTAGCAACTCGTTCAATTTCCAGATGCCTGCATTATTGACGAATCTTAAATGAGAACAATGTTTTTCCTCAAACTTGTCGTAACACATTCAAGTATAAAAAAGGAGGTGCAACCAAGCTGATAGAGAGATTTTTAAATAAAAAGTATTGTTTTAACCAAGATTGACTTAAGCTACCGTTTTATTTCCCCTAACCAAGATTGACTTCAGTTACAATTTTCTTCTCCATATCCAACACTGATTTGAGCTACCATTTTTTTCTAACCAAGATTGACTTGAGCGACCATTTTGTTTCCCACCTGAAAAGTGTGTTTCTGAATGGGTTCCGGTGTTCGAATAATTTTGTGACCGACTGTACATGCTGCGGACTTTCGATTGTTTCCGAAATTTTCTACTAATCTGAAAAAGAAAACCACTAGATCCCAGGATATTAAGGAAACTCGTTCTGAGAAGAGTGAAGGGCATATTTTCTCCAACATAATTCTGAAATACCTGCCACTTCTAAGGGTTGCCCCACTAGGGAAGCAAATACAGTTAAAAAAAACTATTCATGTAAATGTCCAAACCTCATTGCCGCCGCTGGACACAGCAGATAAAACAAAAATAGAAATGTTAGAAAAAATTGACAAATAATAACGTGTCAGTTACATTTGTACATTTTCTGAAGATGATTCGCTAAATAAATAAGATTTTCAGTAACTATTCCATATTCGATGTAATTAGAACTATCACTGGCATCATGGATGAGGTTCGTGCTGCCACCCCTTGAATTATGCTATTTAACATTCTGGAGGACACATTTAGCGATATTTTATCTCGTGTAAATGGAAACTGAGTGTGTGTGATATTATCCTGAGAGTTTAATATTTTCTATCTGCATTTGTTTTCAATCTGTGGGAACGTTGGTAGCTTTGTATTCACTCGTAGCTTATGTATTTGTAGTTTGGGTATGTATGTGTGGTTTTCTTAGTTTATTAAGTGCCTAATATTTCATAAATGTCACATGCATCGCTTCGTATTCTCACGTCCTCAGCACAATAGCCCCGACTGATTAGCCGAACATTTCTTGTGAATATTATTATGTTTCTTTGAACTTCAGAACTTTTGTAGTTATTATTAGAATCTTCTTTATTTAGGTCACCTTGATAAATTCGTAAGTGAATATTCTTCTATGGAGGTAAGGTCAGTGCACCTTAAGTACACCTGTGTGCCGGTGTGTCGGGTCCATTCTACACTTTACGGGGATAATATATTAAAATGAAAAAAGAAGAAGGTTGTGAGGTAATATCCAACGAAGTTAGAGTAAAGAATGAAATTACGATATCCAAAAGGTGAAACAGAACTTGTATGTTCATTAATAACCGAGCTGATCTACCTGAAGAAGCTGTTTAGCAATTCAGAATACAAATTTCAAATAAACCAGGAAGAGTCGTATTAAAAGGAAAACTGCCTATTATTATTTGAGTTCTCACACAAACAGGTTTTCGACAATACTTATGTAATACTGCTGACATACATCATTTACATAATTCACGTATTTACTACAAAATATTGACCCGTAAGTTACGATAGAAGAAATCAGAACACCAATTCAACATCTAGCCTTGAACAAGATCCAGTCTTGAATGCTAAAGAATCCATCTTATCGTGGGCGCCGTGAGCCGTTGTCATCTGCTCAAGAAGCTTCTTTTTTCAATAACGCTTCCTTTTCCTTCTTGATGCATCAAGTGTAAAAGGCAAGGTAAAAGAGACATGAACTTTCATTCTAAACCCCCTTTTTAAAGCAGAAATACATTTCTTAGTAGTGGAATATTTCTAAATATAACTTCATGGCAAGAGAAATTGAAAATTCATTGCTGTAGCTTTAACAAGTATTTTATTTCAGAAAGACAATGGTTTATTATGGAATTTTTTGTAATCTTGAATCTAAATATATATATAATTTGGTAGTGAAAAGGTGTTTAAATAAGCATGTTCATTTTGTAACTCAAGTTTTAATGTTTTAAACATTTGAGAAATTTTACGGTTTTTTGGGTGGAGGGGGGGGAATACTTCGGCAACGTTAATTCATTGTCGGCAACAGCACTAGGGCATCACGGAAAGTTTTCGTTACTTCTCGGCTCTGCTAGTGGAATGAAGAAGGTTATGAGAACACGTCTGATATTTTCTATTATTGTGTTTTTATTTACTACCGGACATATCCTGCCAGTTATTCATTCCTAGACGATACTCCAAAGCAGTTTTATTTATTTCGAATGTATAAAATTCTGCATATAATTGTTGTTAAAAGTAAGATCTTATGCCGACTTAAAAAATAATGTTCGGTTGTTTCGGTTTGTCTTTTTTTCTTATTTATATATGAATCATGTATTTTAAATTACTATGGTAGTGGTATATATACTGACTGCTTAAATTAGTCTGTGTAGAACTCGTTGAAACTGAAAAACTGCAGCAATTCAACGTGTAACACTTGATGTACTGATTTGTTCTATCCTTATTTACGAGTAAATTTTTTATGTTAAATACGTGAATTATGCAAATGATATCAACTGTAGTATGTAATAATTGTTGGAAACCTATTTTTTGTCAGAACTTGAATGATAATAGACATATTTTTAATTCTTTAACTATTTAAGTCTTATATAGAAGATAACTGCACACATTTTAGTAAAATATCAGGAATTGTTTTCCTTTAGCAGTTTAAAATGAGAGGAGAGGTACATAAAGTTACATAGTTAAGATTAGCATTTAATTGCAGTTTTGAAATTTTTATAAGAACAATCTGTTTTTAATTGAATAAGAACTTCCATTTGCTTTTAAGTATAAAAAGCTTGAACTAGTCTTTTAGAAGATTTTGTTTATTAAGAGATACATACGAGTTGTTTTTATTGATCTTCCAGCTTTTAAATTAGTAAATTTGAAATAAATGTTTTCACATTTTTGAGGATTATGATATGCTCATGTTTTCATTTGTCATAATATTAACAAATAGGCATTAAGGAACATTTGTTATGTTTTACTTTTTTATCATGAAATTGTATGCCATATATTTATTTAGAAACATTAAAAAAATTCTGAGATTTATTTCAGTTTCTTAAACATGCATGAAAATTACAAAACTAATTAACGATCTAGTGCTAGATCAGTTATATACAGGAGGTTCAATGTTTTATAAACATACATTAACTTTTAGAAAAGTTTTAGAAAACATACATTAACTTTTATGCTTGGGTTAGTTAATGTATGTTAGTATGTTTAGTATATGCCTGGGTTCTTAAGGTTGGGCATGCAGATCTTACCGAAACATGATTTCACATTTACTTTCTGCATGCAGTTTATATTTAAATTATTCCTTAATATAGTAATTTCTGTTTTTGTTATTAACTGTTCTCATCTTATGCATAGTGCAAGTTTTTTTTTTTTATCTCTTCACATGCACAAAAAATGGAGGTTTCATGAATTCTAGTAGTACATTAAATAAATTTCAAGTAATAAGAATTTACTTCTTTAATGCTACTTATTACAATGAATATTTAGTTCTGTAAGAACACTTATAATGCTGACTTATATTGTTTTTAATTTCAGAGCAAATTAAATATGAGGTAATCATTCATAAATTTGGGCTTATAAGCTTTCTGAATTGGAGGGGCGTAATTTTTCTTAAGCTTGCTGATAAAACACGGAAGCTTCTTAACTTCCCTCAAATCTTCATTGCATCCTAAGCCTGCTGGCAGTGCATGTTAAGTAACTGTTTATTATATCAATTTTATTAAGGAGAAAATGGTACTGAGATTATCATTTTCAATAAGTATATTTGTTAAATTTTTGGTATTAATATGTAATGCGATAAAACAGGCATTTATTCTATATTATAAGGGGCATTTATCCTATATTATGAGAATATATAAAGATTGCTGCTAGAAATGTGTCTAGTAGTTACTGAAGTATGATAATGTACTTGAATTATATTGAATCAGCTACGAATGTTTGTGCTTTGCTAAATTAAGCAGGCAGACTAGGGACCATGAAATGCTGGTAGTTTGTCCCTGTTTCTGTTCTTGACAGTTTACAGCCTGGCTGCATAATTTTCGTGTTGTGATGTAAATATGTACTGTTAAACTTTTATTTTGAGCTACCATTTTAAATCTGAGTAATTATAAGAAACTGTCAAATATCTTTTCATCTGTTCTGCCTTATAATTAAAAGATTAAATTTAAACTATTTTTTAACAGATTGACCTGGTGGTTATATAAACTCAAAATTTAACCGAAACTGAATGTAAGGCTAACTAACACATATCAAATTAAAGATAATGCAAGGTATAAAATAAACATACCTCAGTAAACCCTGGCTCATCCTTAATTGCTTGCAGAGTAATTGTATCTAGCAAAAAATTACGCAAACAAATGACGGTGAATCTTTACATTATGGTAACTTGGCGATTTTTTGGCGAAAATTAGGCGACCAACCCTGCTACAGCAACCTGCTAGTTTTGTTTTGGACGGCATTTTGTTTTCACGAAGTAAAGGCATTTAAAAAAAAAAATTTTTTTTTTTACTCAACATTTTTTCCAACAATCTGCTAGCCGAATTACGCTTATACTATAACTTTTATGGAACAAAAATGCTTAATCATGACAAAGATTAGGTGCGAAATTGGGAGAAAGTGCAGAATCGCAAACTGCTTGCCGCGTTTTTAAGAATTGCACATACACGATATCCATGTACACGTCGACCTATTTTTACTTAAAAAAACATCCCAGTATTGCACAAAAATGGTATTGCGCACACTCTTGACTTTATCTATGTATACATCGACCTATTTTCACTTAAAAAGTCAAAGAAAATTGACAAAAATTCAATTCTTCTTACTCTTGTAAAAAGCGCCAAACAAATAAGTGGGCGATTCTGCACTTTAGCAGCGAAATTGTTTCTAAGTACTTATTAGCTAAAGTCACAATCAGAATTTTCCGGAAAATGTCACATTACATGTCTCATAATCTCACATTTCTCTGAGACAAAATAATCTGTGATTCGAACTGTGTACTTCTCAGATTATTGCTAAAGTCCCAGCTAGTAACCTCTATCGCCTTACCAAAATGTCGCCAAACTACCTGTTACCATATTTTAAAGATTAGCCCAAATGACATTGTAACAGCAGGGAAACTAAAGCAAAGTGATGGCCAGGCTAATCTTTGGAGTATGGTAACAGGTAGTTTGGCGGCATTTTGGTAAGGCAATAAAGGTTAATAGCTAAGACTTTAGCAGTGTACATGGATAAAGTCAAGAGTGTGCGCAATGCCATTTTTGTGCAATTCTGGGATGTTTTTTTAAGTGAAAATAGGTTGACGTGTACATGGATACCGTGTATGTGCAATTCTTAAAAATGTGGCAAGCAGTTTGCGATTCTGCACTTTCTCCCAATTTCGCACGTAATCTTCGTCATGATTAAGCACTTTTGTTCCATAAAAGTTCTAGCATAAGCGTAATTCGGCTAGCAGATTTGGAAATTGCAGATTGTTGGGGGAAAAAAATGTTGAGTAAAAAAAAAAAAAAAAGTCTTCGTGAAAACAAAATGGCATCCAAACAAAAACTAACAGGTTGCTGTAGCAGGGTTGGTCGCCAAATTTTCACAAAAAAATCGCCAAGTTACCATAATCCAAAGATTAACCGATGGTTAGTATGTGCTGCCAAGCTGTCTGAGAAAATTAGAACCAAAAATCTTATTAATATTAACCAGTTTGCTTACTGGCAGGAGTTGACAAAAGTTATGGTAAAGCCAAAATAATAAGATAGCGAGATTAAGTAAAATAAAACCTTACAAATACAGTACTAAGTCCAAAATCCGGACTGGTCGGGACTTCGGCGATTCTGGATTTTGGATTTTTCCAGATAATAGATCATCAATTTAAATCTGGTAAAATGGCATGCAGAAATTATACAATTAAAAATATGAAATCGTAATTTATGAAATAAAGAAAAATTGTGTTTTAAAGGGTAAGAATTGTAAGAATTGGAGGCTCCCTTCAGCCCACCTGGACACAAGTGTCTCCATAGCTCAAAAGAAGGGGCCCCGTGTGTTCTAAAAGGTATCAGAATTTACAAAAAATGCTGGCTGATCTTTGGAATATGGTAACAGGTAGTTTGGCGACGTTTTGGAGGCGATAAAGGTTACTACCTAGGACTTTGGTAATAATGTGAGAAGCACTCAGTTCCGATTACGCATTATTTTGTGTGAGGGAAATGAGAGATCATGAGATGCATCATGTGACATTAATGGACGAATTACAGTTCTTTAATCGGAAAAGGGGGTAAATTTGGAAAAATTATTTTGTATTAAGCTTCATTGTGCGTTGTGTGAAATAGTGTTGATCAATTTTCGGATTGCATGGCGCTATGTAAAGTTAACTCTAAATTTTTAATACGTAATAATTAATAAGAAGTTGACTGGATTTCGGATTTAGAAATTAGCAGTAGTACTGCAGCCGATTGGAACTCTTTCTGTAGGGAAGTGTGCGTGCCACGTAATGAAGATTCTGAAGAAGATTAGGTAAGTTAGTATTTTTAATCATTTGAGGATATTATTTTTATGCATTGTTCTAAATGCAAGGAGTAAATAAAAATTAAAATGGTATTATTGGAAAATTGTTATTAGCAATGATTTAGTTTAAAGTAATTAGGATTGTAATCTAATTTTTATTATTTTAATGTATGTGCTTATTTATATTTTAAGTAGTGTTTTTTAATTTAAATATATTTTAATTTAATGATCGTGATTTTGTGAGTTATATGTTTGTAGTATTTTGGAATACGTTTGAGTAGTATACGTTGAGTATTTTCATGTATTTTCGTGAAATTTTTCTAATTTATGAGAAAAAAGCAGTGTACATAATTATAGTGAAGAGTGTGCGCAATGCCATTTTTGTGCAATTCTGGGATGTTTTTTAAGTAAAAATAAGTCGACGTGTACATGGTTTAGTGATATTTTAATTAAATGATATTTATTTTGTGAATTTTATGTTTGTAGGAATTTGGTATATGTTTCAGTTGAAGTAAACGTGTATGGAAATAATTTAAATATTTGATACTAAGTAGTATTTGTAACTATTTTTAATGTTTGCGTATAAATTCGTTGCTGCCGTTTGTAATATAATAGATAATTTAGAGGTAAAAGTTTTGGGATATTTTATTTATTTTATACTTGGAAATGTTCATTCTTGGAAAGGGTATATACTTTTTCGCGATCAGGTAATTTCATATATGTTCTTTTTACCGGATTTAAAGATTCAC